CTAGTACGGATAAACAATATAGAAAATAACCAGTTGATCCAACATGGAACTACATGAAATACATATATATAGATATACACATATATATATATATATATATATATATATATATATATATATATATATATATATATATATATATATATATATATATATATATATATATATATATATATATATATATATATATGTGTGTGTGTATTTCATTCCAAGCGCTGTTATTCGAAATCATGGACTATTACCAGGAAAGTTGGTTCTGAGCACTGTATAGAATAGGATATATATGTGTGTGTGTGTGTGTGAGAGAAATGTAGGTAGTTAATTATAAGAGAATGGCAGTTAAAAAAAATGCATGAGCCAACTACCTAAATTGTGGCAATGTTTTAGGGTAAGAGAATGGCTAATGCCCAGTTTGGTGAGCCATGCCAATAAGGCATGATGGCGGTGGGTACTAATGACTATTTATTATTTTGTAGATCCATGTCAATATCAGCCTTGTTGTATTTGCGGAACTTCCGGGGGGCCATGCCCCCCGGCAATATCGATGCTACACCCGGTGATTTTCACCGGGTAACTCTTTTATTGACATGTGTCCTTTTTAATTTATTTTATAATTATTTTTCTAAAACCCAATGGGCCATAACTGAACCCGTAGTGAGAATCTTATCAATTAGGGTGCCTGGTGAAAATCACCGGGTGTAGCATCGATATTGCCCTAGACTACTTTTTATGTACGTTATTTTCGGCCAAAAAATAAATAAGATAGTGTACATATATACACCCCTCGGCAACGAGAAATTTATTGTCCCGTAAGAGATGACCTAGCGGTTGGAGCAAGTGAGTGAGTTTTGTATTAATTGACTCGTGTTCGAATCCCCTCGCCAACGGTCGCTAGGTCGACCTAGCTAGTAGTATGGTTTACGTCTCTCGTATGGTTTGCAAGCTATTAAACGAGAGTATGGATTTACTCAGTGCACCTATATGGCTGACTGCAGGTTCATTCGTTACCAACAAAAAAACAAAAGGAGATGAAATAATAATAATTAATTTTAAATAAATATATCATTAAAATCTCTTAGTTTACCCTAACGTTGTTACTTTTATATATAAAGATTAGTTGCACTCTTAATTCTATACCGTTCAACCATAAAAATAATCTTAATATTATTTGTTTATTACAATCCAAAAAGAATCTCTCAATGTTATCTTTCATTATATATTTTAAGCTTTTTTTATTTTATTTTTTCACCAATCTTGCACATTAATCATCTTATCTACTCTACCTAAATTGCAAATAATAAGTTTTTTTTACGGGTATTTCTTAAAAAAAATCTACAAAAAAATTGGGACCGCTGCCCCGTAACTCTTTTGTTTAATTGCTCTAATTTCCGGCCCCCAATAAAGAATATTGGTTCCGCTTGTAGATACTATAGTGTAATTTTTCACATTTCATTCACTTGCAACTAGGGGTGGGAACGAGCCGAGCTCGGCTCTTTTGGCCAGCTCGAGCTCGAGCTCGAGCTCATCGAGCTAATTTTTTTTTGGCTCGAGCTCGGGCTCATTTAATTTTTTTTTTATTATTTAATTTTTTATTAAAATCATATGATTTTTTTATTAAAAATTATTTATAAGAAAATAAAAAAATTATAAAATAAATAATGAACTCTAGTTATATATATTTTTTAATTTTTCTATTATTATTATAATATATTATATTATTATGAATTATTGAAGTAATATAGATTTGTTTCTATTTAAATACTATAAATATTTATTATTATAGACTATTTACTATTTAGTTAATAATAATAATAATAATAATAAGAATAATATATATATATATATATATATATATATATATATATATATATATATATAT